ATGCAACAATGTCAACTGTATAAATAATTAAATCTATACAGATGGCTGATGTGGATTTTTATTTGTCAGGTATCGGTCCTTAGAATGAATGGACTAAATGATTAAGCTTCAATAATTAGTATACAAATGTCCTGAGATTTGAATGCAGTTCAATGGTGAAACGGTTTAAATGAGCAATACCTTGTTCTTGGAAAAAAGGTTTTACACGACTGAAACCCTAAAAATTGCTCTTGCCAAACCATGGTTTTGTGTGACTGTCTTGCTGAATGATCTTCCTTGATGAGGTCAAGGTTGAAACTAGCTTTTATAGTATGTTGACACCTCTAAAACCCCATTTAACTCATGGATGGAGATGCTACCAAACACATAATGGTTGAAATGCTACAGCTTCCCCAATGAACTGTTGTTCCTTCACATTCACCTGATACAATTACCTTCAAAATCCGCGTTAACCTAATTAACCTCGCATTTATCACACTCCAACATGTAACTTGCTCAAAGGAAACAGATGATCTCTTCCTCGGTGGTATTCAATGTCCATGCCGCTGAAGCGGAGACGATGTGAACTGTCCGTCGACAAAGACCGCAAACAACTCGAGTAATAAACGAACAAAAACAAGATTTTCGCCAAGTGATAGAAACAGTCGCACGAAAGATGCGGTGAAAGCATAGCATGAATAAACTTCACTGGACCACTAGCCAGACATCAGCATTTTACTTTATAGATAAAATAGCCTAACCACCAAAACAACAACAACTTGAGCTATCTCGGTCGCAGCGAGCTGTTCCGTTGTCCTAGTTATATTTTCTCCGGTCGAGAGTCTTCATGAGACCGCGGACTGAAAGAGGACCGCTCGGGTTAGCGGCGAGTGTGCTTTAGCATGTTAGCTCGAGTGAGAGAGTGAATGTGCCGGCGACTCTCACCAGTGCCAGTTGTTGACGTTTGTAGCATCCGCTCTCTCCTCCACGATCCAGCGAGGGTCTCCTTCTCCCCACTTCGCCATATTGAGTTATAAAAGATATTCTGCTGAAAATGAACGAAGCCGTGGGTTCTGACAGAATGTGTCCGCCACGAGTGAACTCTCGCTTCTGGAAGCCTCTCTTCTTCTTCTTCTTCTTTGCCGTTTATGGCGGTTGGCAAACCAGCTTTAGGTGCATTTACCGCCACCTACTAGGACGGAGTGTGGAGCAATGACATTAAAGGAAAACAAACCAAAAAAAAATTAGTAGTGATTCTTTAAATCCTGTTTATTAACTCTGTATCTTTGAGATACTTAATATGTGAAACATTTCTATAGTCACATCTTTATTTAACCATTTCTGAAGTGAGATCTGATTTATTTCTATATGAAATGCTTCTGTAAGTTGTACTCTTTCGTTGTCATATCCTTTACAGTTTATTAAAATCTGTTCAACTGTTTCAGGAAGATCACATTTAACACAAAGTCCAGACTCATGTTTTCCTATTATAAATAATGACTGATTAAGTGCAGTGTGTCCGATTCTAAGGCGAGATATTATGCCGTCTTCCTTTCTATTCTCCTGTCATTTCCAACTGTTTTTTGAATATTATATAAATGCCGTCCTTTATTCTCACCATGCCATATATCTTTTAATGCTTTTTTAATTAGCCCTTTTATTTCTAATTTACTCATTGGAACATTAAATTCTACGTCTGGATGTTTGAATGTTTTTTCCACTATTTGATCCACCACTTCATTACCTTCTATCCCT